CATGAACAGAAGAAGAACGAACAGCTTCTGTTATGCCCCCAACGGGGAAGTGCCTGCGGAGGTGAAACAAAAAGAGATAAGGTCTCGTGACGCCGCCTTGACACCTCGAGCCCTAACCGAGTACTCCCTGACCCAGGGAGGCTTCGGGCAATGGCCTTGAGCCAAAATGGCTACGGACCCTCCTCCTCCTCCTCCTCCTCTTCCTCCTCCTCCTCCTCCTCCTCGTAATCAGTATACTCATCATCATCATCAGCAGTAGCAGCATCTGCATCAGCATCAGCACCATCATCATCAACATCATCAGCATCATCATCAAAATCGTCATCGTCATCGTGATCAGCAGCAACATCATCATCATCATCATCATCATCATCATCATCATCATCACCATAATCACCATACTCAGCATCATCAGCAGCATCATCATCCTCAGCATCACCATCACCACCATCATCACCATAACCACCATCAGCAGCATCATCACCACCATCATCATCGTCATCATCAACATCAACCATCACATCACCAACAGCATCATCATCACCCGCCTCCTAATCCTCATCCTCAACATCATCATCGTCATCTGCATCGCAATTACCGTCAATATCATCAACATCATCATCACATTCTTCTCCATCACCAGCATCGTCGCTATCATCACCACCATCACCATCACCATCACCATCATCAACATTACCAACACCACCACCATCACCATCACCACCACCATCACCATCACCATCATCACCACCATCACCAACAACGATGTCGTCATCACCATCATCCTCGTTATCAAACGCATCACGTGCTTCACCCCTTTCGTCCGCCACATTCCGTCTCCCCATATTGTATTCCTCCTCCTCCACTATTTGTGCTTCTTCCCCTTCTCCTCCTCCTCAACAAATTCATACTCAAATTAATTCACTTCCAACGTCGGCACGACACGGAAAACACGTCGCATTTTACGGCCGTTCCAAGCCTCGGACACGATGCGTGACGCGTTACGGCTTCCTGTCAATCGCACCCCAAAGCGCCAGTCTGGGTCGGCGGCGACCCTTCGCGCAAGCAGATGAAATCAGAATCTTCCACGGTACAAGCGCGCTGAGACGGTCTCCTCCAGCGAGACTGTTGGATCACCGTGCGTGCCCGCTCCGGAAGCTGCCAGGAAGCTCACTCCGAGCGTGACCCGAGCAGCTGCCAGGAAGTTTACTCCGAGCGCGCCCACGAAATTCACCCGCTCGCTTGCATCGTATATTACCTGGCCAACGTTGTTGCCAAGAAGCTTGCCAGGAGGCTCACTCCGAGCGTGCCGGCACCCGTCTGGCAGATGCCAGGAGGCAGACCAAGGAGCTCAAACCCGACCACGCCCGCACGCTTACGGCGCACATCGCGTCGCAAGCGGTGTTGCCAAGATTCGTGCGAGGCAGTTTATGCCGAGCGTCCCAGCTCGGGTTTGGCAGCTATCGCGTTGACGTTCAATTCCGGCGTGCTGCCCGCCCGTTTGAAGCTCAAAAAGCCAGCGCAGCTGCCAGAAAGCTTGCTTCAAGCGTGTTCGCTCGCGGGCAAAGCAGGTCGGGTTGCCGGCGCTGTTGCCTGGAGCTCACCTCGATCGCTTGTGGAGCTCACCTCGATTGCCTGGAGCGATATGGCTACTCGCTTGTGGCGCACATCGCGTGTCTGGCGCTGTTGCCACGAATCTTACCAAACAAGCTCACTCCAAGCGTGCCCGTTCGCATCCAGCAACCATCGCGGTGCCAATGGTGTTGCCAGCAAACGGGCAAGGAACTCACTCCAGAAGTGCAAGCTCGCCTTCGACGCACACTTCTTAGCCAACGCAACTGTCAGGAATCCAAGTCGGAATATGCCTGCTCGTGGCCAGGCACATCGCGTGGCCAACGTCGTTGCTAGGCAGTTCACTCCGGGCGTACCAGCTCGGTTGAAGCGCAGATGGTGTGGCCAGCATATGTAACTGCTATGATGCCCACTCCAAGCATGCCTCCTCGTGGTTCACGCGATGCGCTTTTGAATTGTCATGGATCCCGAACGCATCAGCCTAGTTGGGACTTCCAGCCCGCCTGTCCAGCGCATAGACGAAAACATGCCCCAACTGCTTGCTCTCTTGAGTTGTATCGCCCCCTATGCGCTTCTGACCGCTTCTGGACTCCTGCCCCCCCCTTAGCCAGCGCACAATGCCAAGACAGCCGGGAGCGATTTACTTCCTACAAAACTTCATGACTCCCGCGACGGCTGCCGACGATTCGCGCTGCTGGGCGCACATGGCTCACGGTCCGCCCCTCTCTGCGCAGCGCGTGGGGGAGCAGGAGGAAGGAGGAAGAGGAGAACGACGAGAGATTCGGGCGTTGCTTCATGGGAGAGCGAAAAACGAAGGGGGCCAAGAGGCGTGCACCTTTCGAACACACTTTGGGTGCTATTGGGGCAACTCAAGGCCTGGAAGGTGTGCGAAACGTATAGATCAAGCGTCACCGCAAGACTATGGCATCGAACGACACATGTGCCGCGGCCCACTCGCACCGCACTATGTGCACCGCAAGTGTCTTCGAGGATCGTAGTAGTCGCCACCAGGAATGAATTTCTCGTCCTCACCTTTCAGCTCCCCTTTCTGCTGCTACTACTGGTCCTTGTTCTGCTGGTTGTGTTTGGTGTTGGCTCCAACGATGGGCGCAACGCACAACCACAAACAATAGTTCGGATCCCTGTGGGTCTTTCTGGTGCTGTCACCATCGCCCCACTACCTGTATACAACGATCCACCCGCCACCCTTCTCGCCACCCACCCACAACCTTTCCCGCAAATCAAGACGCGACATGCCACGCGACCCGCCCGCGACTCATCCGCGACCCACTCCGCGGTGCTCCGGCGACCCGACCGCGACCTGCGTCGCAACCTGTCAAGTATACTCAGGATGCAAGGCATAAGAATGCAAGAGCTTTGGACGTGCATCCTGAAGCAATTGCAACGTCGTCAGGCCGATCATGATTGGACACATGACTACGGATGGGCTGAAGAAACAAGGGCGCAATATACAATGATAACGTTGATGGAACACGGTGCCATGACTAACGACTGATTTCGAATGTGTAAACTTGCAATCGTGGCGTATACGTGGCCCCACACCTCGGCGCGCACACAATGAGGACGGATAGAATGGGACAGCGACCGCTGTCGGACAGGCGACGCTGATCCCGAATGGGGAACGTCCGAAAGCAACACCGAAAACGACTGCTGCTCAACATGGGCAAGAAATGCTCCTGGTCGTCGTCCCGTTCTTTCCGTCACCATGTCTGGGTTGACCGAAAGGTGCCGATACCGCTACTCCCTGGAATCTCCTGGGGTGCGTTCTGACCAGGATTTCGAGGCCAGTCCAGCAATGATGACGAGGGCCTCCCAGAGGCTCAAAACAGCGAAAATAAGGTAAGGGCAGCAGGATGGGTAGTCTTATCCTCCTCCGAATTTCGCTCCCCATTTGGCCCCCCCCCCCCGATCACCCGTCCTCCTTCCGCAGCCGTAGGACGTCAACTGACCACCGCACCGATCCTTCCCAGGCCGACCCCTTGGGGGGTGCACGGCTGGATCGTGCCCTGACGACCCCGGCGTTGGTTCCTGACACCGCGTGGATGCTTCACCTTGAAAAAGACGAAGCCAAGACGAGGATCACATCGGGTGAGAATAAGTCGAGAATCTCTGAGATCCGGCTTCTCTGGAAAATGTCTCGAGCGCAAAGGCCTTCTCAGAGCGGTCGCGAACACTATGAGAGCGTTCTGAAACGCTCTGGAACGGATTTATCCTCGTCCTAGCCCCGTCTGATTGAACGATCGGCCGTTCCCGAAACGTCAGATCGTTCAGCATCGACAAATTCTGGGTGACCGGCGGCTTTCAACGTTGAACGCCGGTGGCGGGGTCGCCGCCCGTCGACACGACGCGAACCTACCGTGCATGCATCCCTGCTCCCAGGTCAAGCCAGGAAGGCGCATACACCGATCCTTGGGACCCCAGAAGGTGCCGATTGCACTACTCCCCGGACCTCTCCAGGGTGCGTTCTGATCAGAATTTCGAAGCGAATCCAGCGCTGGCGACGAGGGCCTGCCTCCCAGGAGGCCCAAGATGGGGAAAACGAGGGAAGGGCATCGGTACGGGTGCCTTTTCCTCCTCTGAGATCCTGCGCCCAGGTCGGGGATCTGCTGACATGGGTCAATCCAAACCCGGGTCAGTCAGGCCTTCCAGGATCCTGACGCAACCCCAGCCCTGCAGCATCCTGCAGAATCCTGCAGGATCCGGCACCCAAGCCCAGTCAATGCGACCCTGGCCCCTGCAGGATCCTGCAAGATCTGGCGCCCTGGATGACCCCCGTTTGCATCGACCCCCGTCTCAAGGCTCCCGACCATGTCGGGCCTGGCGAGGACCGGTGAGGTGGTCAGCTGACGTCCACCGGCGCAGGGGCGCCATGGATTAGCGATCAATGGATTTGGCGCCTCCCCCCAAAATGCTGCCGGTGCCGCCTTGCTCGGCGGCGGAACTCCGCGATTTCCCATGGACACGGGACCCGTCGCTAATCCACGCCCCCTTGAACCATGTTTGCGATCGCGTGAGAAAGGGTGGGAGGGTCTGGCTCTGGACCTCTGCTCAGTGCGACTGCTCGCAACCGTGCGTCCCGTAGGGGAAGCTCCACCTGCTTGAGGCAGGCACCAGAACAACCAAGCTCTACTCCAAGGGGGGGAGAGGGGAGGTGCGAGGGCCCGCGCCGATCGGCACAACGATGAATAAGAAAACAATCACCATCCTTCCGCGACTGCTTTTGGCGGCGCGCACAAGAAGGTGGAGGGAGGGGGGAGGGCTTCTTAGAAAGAGGCTGCTTCTTAGAAGACGCCGACCCTACCACTATAGATACGGCCCGCGCCTTCTAAGAAGCACGGGTGCTTCTAAGAAGCCCTGCCCCCTCCCCCCACCCGTCTCTGCGCGTGGCCGATGCTTCCCCTGCGCACCCGAGGCCCGCCGCGCGCACCGCCCGCGCGCGCTGCGCCGCCACGAGCTCGCGCAGGAGCCCGAAGAACCTCCGGGGGGGGGGGGGCCCGGGGCGCGGAGAGTCAGAAGCGGGTGGCGACATTTGAACCCCACCCCCTTCGACCATCGAGCCTCCTGAATCGATGGGAAGGCGAGGGCAGGGTTCGGACTTCGCAGAGTGTCCAGCGCAGTCCGAGCCCTATTCCCGCCGCCGATCGAGTGGCCTGACTCGTGGATCGGCGGGGGCAGGTTTCGGATTCCGCCGCCGACAGAGGAACGGATGAAGGCAGGCAAGGCAAGAGTGCAGGAGCCTGGGCTCTTTGCGGTGAGCATCGGTGGCGAGAAGGACGCATGGCCCGAAGGCATGTCCAGGATCCGTTGTCTTGGCTGAGATGGGGGAGGCGGAGGCGGAGAGGACCCCAAGTTCTGCTCCACAACCTCTTCCAAATTCCACACTGCACTCTTTCTCCCAAGGCGGAAGAGGATGAAGAGATAACGTCCTCTCCTCCTCCTCCTCCTCCTCCTCCTCCTCCTCCTCTTCCTCTTCATCCTCCTCCTCGCTCCATGCTCCATCTCCCATCTCCCTACGTCGCCTCCCCTCTGCTCTACTCACTCCATTTACTTCTCTCACCCCCTCATCCGCTCTCCCTAATTACTCCTTGCTCCATCATAAAATGTGCATGAAGAAAAGGAGGAACAAAAGCATCAAAACAAAATCCCGGACAACTCCCCGAACAACCTCTCCGAGATGAACGGAGACCACAAGCGCCCTAGGAGGTAAGTTTGGCCAACGCTTGAGCGAGAGCACCGTTCCCTACCAGGGATGTGACCGGTGCACTGGAGAGAGCACCTTTTTCAATAAGGGATGTGGCTGGCGAGAGCAACATCGAGTGCTCGGGCGACAACTCACTTCCAAATCAAGAGTGTAGTCACAGCTCAGGCGACAGCACCGGCCCCAGTCAGCGATATGGTCAGCGCTCCAACGACAGCACCATTCGCCACCTTCCCTCCGATTCCGTGGGAGTCATGTGTCTGCTCATCCTTGGGTCAGGGCATCTTTGTGCACAGAGTTGCGAGGCTGTCTCAAGCAAAACTGGCTGGACAACCTCGCGCGCAGCATCCAAGAAGCCAGAGTTTCGAGGATGTCTCAGGCGAAACTGGCTAGCCAACCTCAGGTCAGGACATGCCATCGCCGAGCTCAGAATTGCGAGGATGTCGCAGGGGAAAGTGACCAGACGCTAAGGAATGAGGAGAAGGCTGAAGGCTGAAGAATGAGGAGGCCTAAGAGAGGGCTTGGGTAAGATGGCGCCTGCGGACCATCCCCTCGAGAATCCGACGTGCGGGTGAAAGGCCTTGTCCTTGTATTTGGGGTCGCTGGTGGCGCTCTTCTCTCGGAACACCTGAGGTCAGGGTATCTCTGAGACCAAGGTTGCGAGACCAGACCACGTCGTGGGCGGCATCTCCGAGCCCAGACTTGCAAGGATATCGCAAGCGAAACCGGCCGGAACACCTCAGATCTGGGCATGAGTGAGCCCAGCGTTACGAAGATGTCTCGAGCGACAGTGGCAAGACAACCTCCTCATGTTGAGTATGTCTCTTTGCGCTGGTCCCGCGGCTGGAACTAGCTTCTACAACTACAAGACTCCAGCAAACCACGCTTCGTGGGGAACAACGATCAATGAAGATGTGCGAGCGGGAGCGGGAGGACGCGAGAGAGGAGGAACGAACAAGAGGGAAAGGAGGAGAGAGGCACCCTTTCCAGCTGGGTTTGACTGGCTGCGCCATGCTGCTGATGACATGGATGATTAAGACATAAACGTGCGCTGGCAAACCGGCACGGCCCGGACAAACCCTTGGACAACCCCACAAGAAGCCGGACCCCCCTCTGGACAACCCATCCTGGACAACCCTCCCCAGATTTTTTCATATAACATAGTATTGAGCCGCAGGTGCTGCATTACCCTGAGGACATGGTATTGGGGAGGAGCGCGCTGAAGAGAATATGCGGGAAGAGCGGGAGGACGATTGAAAACTACATGGCGTATGAGAAGAAGAGGTGTACGAAGTGGGGGGAAAGGTGGTGAGCATGAAATGGAAGAGCAGGAGGATGAGATGGATGAGGACGACGAAGATGAGCGGGCAGAAGACTAGACGAAATAATATGAAGGATGAGTGGAAAGAGTCCGTGGGGCGCATCGCCGCGAGCATGAGAAAAAGAGATACAAGACGTGGCGCGAGAGCGACCTCCCGCACTGCGCTGCCCATTTTTCATGTCCCTCCCCGTCCTCCCCCACAATCCATCGAACGCAGCCCCTCCCTCCCTCACTCCTCTCTTCAACCCACTTGTCCGAAGTTTTGTCTATACAGCATCATCCATCATGCGTGTACCCTTCTTCCTTTCCATCACCGCTTCCACACCCATCTTTTCCCGCACCTCTCATTATCCTCCGCCCTCCGTCTTAGCCTCCGACCCCTCCCGCTTCTGCACTAGTTTGCATAATCCCCTCTCCTCGTCCCCCCATCTCAACCATTCCCCTTCCGCCCCTCCTCGCTACTGATCTCTCTTCCAGCCTGCCTCCCTGGCTCATCACTCATCCTCTTCTCACCTTATCATTATCATCATCAGCATGCGCCTTCTTCTCCCCATCCCTCCGCCCATCCGCCCCTCATTATCCATCATGTTGCGTCCTTCTCCTGCTTCGCCTCTTATTCCCTCATCCTCCCGTTCTCTACTCAACCTCATCCTCTATTCTCTATTCTTTATTGCTGCATCCGTCGCCTCCCCCACATTCCTCGCACGTAGCTCGGAATGAGTTCGTAGTCGCTTAGCTCGCTCGACCGTCCAGTTGCTGCAGTAGCTGCGCTCTGGCAGCACGGGCATGCTGTGCAATCAACGTTGGATCAACATTGGCCTGACTCCGAGTCGAGTTGTATAAGTAGAAACTCAAAATCAGGCGCTGCACAGCGAGCAATCGTTGCTCCCCAGTCATATCTTTGGCGATCCCCAGCCTACGATCAAATAAGACCTCGGACGGAGCCGACGGAACCCAAACGGTTTGCACAGCACCACACAGCAACGGACAAGACAAATAATGCGTTTGCGTGTCGCACTCGTTGGGGCAAACGAATTTACAGGGAACATTGATCTGTCGAGCCCTCCGCTCCGTCGCTCACCCCCCCCCCCCCCACCACCGCCTTAATAGTCGAGGCCTGCCAGGAGGGCGGCAGGGCACTGAGACACTCTTTGAGCATCTTCCAGCGGCGCGCAGCCTTGGCCCGGGGAGAAAGAAGCGCAGCAGCCCACTTCTCCATGCGCTTGAACATGGTGTCTCCTTAATTTCCCTGGGAAAGCTCAACCTCCAGGTGCCTCGAGATCGCCCTTTGCACAGGGACAAGGAGACCCCCGTCCACAGCCTGGAGCCTCTGCGCCTCGCTGAGAGCATCCATGGCGAGAGCAACAGGACGGGCAAGACGGCGGGGGGAGGAGAAGCCATCAGCAGCGGCAGCGAGCTCCTGGACATATGATGGCTCGATCCAGTGCTCTGACTCCCACTTGCCCTGGATCCACATATTCATTGACAAAAACTCTCTCGCCGCCTGCTGCTGGGCCTTTCACAACGAACGCCAATTCGTGATCGCCTGCTTGGATGTGCGCAGGAAACCCGCGAGCGATTGAACAAGCATTGGCTGCGGGCGAACCTTCGACCATTGTCGCAAAGCAAGCAATTGCGACATGGGAAAGGAGAAGGGAGGGAGGCGGAGGATCTTATGGAGAGCCCACGACTCCCATCTCAGGACGGGCTGTGGCGTGCGTGAGAGCTGGGAAAGGTAGCTGAACTTCGACACAGCTCTCGAGTTGTACAAAGTGACGGCAATCGAGGGGGCGGCCTTAGTCGCAGCTAGTTCTTTGACGACCACAACCCACTCACGAAACGCACGACGCCACATCAACTCTCTCGATGCTGCTGGGCCGATCCACACCCCAAGATATTCCGCCGCTGAGACGGTTGACATCGCTGCCCACCTCGGAACGAGCTGGCTCAATCTGCTCTGGACCTGCTCAGCTAGCTGGGAGGAGAGAGGGGCAGAGACAGGGATGAGCTGGCACTTCGGAATTTGAAGCCGAAGGCCAGCTAGCAGACGCGCAGCATACAATGTGCCCGACAGTCGTGATAGCGCCGCCAGCTCCCTCACCGCCACCCCCACATCACCCGCGCAGACCCCCACTTCCGACCCAGGATGCTCACGTAGCCTGCTTCGCATGTCCCGAATTAGAGGATCCATCGCCAGCGCCCGCAAACTGCCACTGGACGGGTCGCCCTGCAGAACTCCTGAGTAAATTAGGCAGAACGGGAGCAACAATCCCTGAAGTGCAACACGAGCCGTCGCAAAGGCATAGGTGGCATGCAGGAAACGGCGAAATCCTGCAGGGAGATCTGCCAGCTCTAGAACCCTCCAGAGAAACATATGGATCAGAGAGGGGAAAACATTGCCAAAGTCGAGAAGAAGGAGAACAGGGAGGTTAGTCGCCGCCGAGGGGGGCATGCTGGCAATCCTAGCTGAGGGCTCAAGCAGGGTTAATGTTGTCGAGAAAGTTCCTTCCTGCCACGAACCCACGCTGGTCGCTATGCAACTCCTTTGACAGGGTCGGCTTCAGACACTGATTGCATGCTGCTGACAAAATCTTGACGTCAGTGTTTTTGAGGGCCGAGGGTCTGGCGGTGGCAGGCTCGCGAACCACAAAGCTCGCATCTTCCACCTTCCTGCCCTTGGGGGCGAAAACCAGCAGCAAGTCATTTAATTCAGGGGGGGGGGGTCCCGAGAAGAGTTCCAGAAGAAGACCGTGGAGCACAGGCACAGCTAACTTCGCACCCTTCCACGCCGAGCACGGAAGCCCATCAGGGCCAGCAGCCGTAGGAGAGGCATGGATGAGGGCATTGCGCAGCTGCTCCTCTGACGGCGGCTTCAGATCTGACCAGTCAAACTGCTTTACATGCTTAGACAGATACGCATCTAAATGCTTAAACGGGGCTGACTTCGGCGCAAAGAC